CAAAAGACGACGGCGGATTCCTCTTTATCAGCCGGATATTGGCCTTACTGGAGCATTCTTGTTTATATCTTTTCTCAGGCTTATCTCCCTCGATTCCTGTGAAAAAATTGTAAGTTTTCGTCCATCGTATTATCGGGTCTCTATCAAGGGATATCTAATTTAAGGGATTTAGGATTCATCTTTATGCTACTCTTAAGGACTATTTAAATTAATTTAATCCACTTATATAGGAATTTCTAGTGAGGAAATTCTTGGGCTTTATCTTCACGAGACTTCCTGATAAAGTATTTTTCCCGTCGCCTATTTCTTCATTTTTTTATCCAGTTGGAATATAAACGCATGTTGGTCGGCCTCCTGGTACATCTCGTAACCTGTGGCTACGTTGTTCCTGTTGTCCAGTCCATGCGACGAATGTTTGCTCTTAATCGCATTGATGTTTCACTTGTCCGACACTTTGTCACTGAGGTATTATCTTATTTTTATATTTTTGTTATTGTTTCACCATCATGCAAACGTCTTATAATTTTTGAATCAAACGGCACTTGGTTCCGATGGGGAAAGTAACTACGCTTTACTAAATCCATTTGTGGCGACGCACTCTTGGGTGACATTGGAGAAGACGAGAGTACGAAATTGTGTGAATAGGTAGATAGGCCATATGAAGTGGGGTTGAGAGAGCGGAATTCTTGAGGGTGTACTAAGTCACTGATCGGATGCTGGAACTCACGAATATTATAACAGAGGACACAGGACTAGATACGTTCCACAAGGTCTCTCTGACGCTCCGGCGAGGTTGGGAAAATGAGGTCGAACAAACACTATAAAGCTAAAGGAGGCTGCGACTAAATAGGAAATAACACTATCTCGATCTTCATACCTACGATATTATTTTTCAAATTTAAAGCCGACGAAGTATTTTATTAGTTTGGCAGCCAAATGTTTGTAGTTCATAGTATCATTATCAGTAAATGGGGATGACAACTAAATTATTATATCTAATTTTCTCCTGTTAAGCCATCTATCTGTTTTTCAACAATCCATCTGCATCCTTAGTTAAGATTTTTAGAATTAAAAAATGTCAGTGAAATTTTTAACCTGACAATTATTTTAGTAATGTGTATCTGGGAAAAGCGCAACAGATGTATAATTTTTATTTTTTTATCTTATCATAGGAATATAATTGAGAATCAAAGATTTTTAGTTTTTAAGTAGTTTCGAAGCTACCAGTAAATCAGATATATATAAACTGTTCAATCTTCAGTTTAAGGTGA